ACCTGAATCCTACTTCCTACTCAGTTCCTGCCTCTTGTGCATGTTAGCAAGGCAGCCTCATTTCTTGGGCCTCAATTTTTTCCTTCTCATTAATTTCAATGAAGATATCAACTTAGATAAGATCACCATTTCCCGTCAGTCTTAGTTCATTCAAGCTTATATAACAAAAATACCATAGACTGGGGGTGGCAGGGTGGGGATAGTTTAAACAAACAGTCTGAAGGCTTGGGAATCCAAAATCAAGGCACCTGCAGATTCCATGTTTGGGGGGGGGGCCACTTCCTGGTTCATAGATGAACTTTTACTCTGTCCTCACCTCACATGGTAGAAGAGAAAAGAGCTCTCTGTGGTCTCTTTTACAAGGGCACTAATTCGCTTCCTGAGGGCTCCATGCTCATGACCTAGTTACCTTCCAATGGCTCCACCTCCTGATACCATCCCACTAGGGATTAGAATTTCAGCATTTGAGTCAGAGGGGCAGAGACACCAACATTTGGCTTGTTGCACCTTCACACTTGAATTGGAGTTGTAGGAGCAAAGGGTGCCTTGGTCAGGGAAGCTGGGGGGTATTTGGTCAAAGATGATAAATGGCATTTTTTTTTAAATATAGGTGTTCACCAGAAACTTCAGAACGCTAAAGTCAATTATGGTCATTCCAAAAAGTGGGTAGAATGTGCAGAGTTTCTCAGACTTATTTGATGGACATGGAACATGTGGAGTAGGGAAAGAGTCATTAAGAGAACTGATGTTCCACAGTCAGACCTTGAGAAATGGTCAATTAGCCAATCCCTACAGGTCCTCCAGTTCTAGGCTTTTGTGGCTTTTAGGAAGATGCTGTCCAGTCTCCCTGGCTCAGGTAGTGCTGCAACTGAGCCTAGTCCCACACTTAACCTTCCACCCCCTTGGTCCCTGCTTTTCCATTGCCCCTACCACTCCCCAGCCCACCCCAGAGAAGAAATTGAAGCAACTCTACTTAAAAAGCCTGTCATTAGGGAAGGGGGGGTATGCACATTTAACTTTGACCTCGGATAATGAAGTAATGTCAATGCTAATCTAAAAGAGCAGCCGCTTTGAAAATCAAAGCATAAGACAGAATGATTTTACTTTAATTTAAAATTGATTTTTTTCAATTCTACCACATTTCTTTCATGACATCCTGGGTGTCACTGTCTCACATATCTCGTTTGAGCCATAACTTAATATACCAGGCTTTCATATCCATGAATTCTTAAGGCAGCAACAGATTATTAATGTTATGTTAATAAGAAAGCAATAATGTGATAGTATACAGCGTTCTTTTTCCATATATTATTAATGAAGACCTTTCGTGTTTTGATGGGCCTGATGCTTTTCACTGTGGTTGCTGAATAGATTAGGAAATGTTTTTGCCTTCTCAGCAAAAAGTCCCTAAATTAGGCTACGTGTCTAGAAAATATTTGTAACAGGTAACAGAAATGGCCACCAGGCACTGTGGGATAGGAGGTGATCCATGGATTTTAATCTAAGGTTGCCAGGAAAAGCAACATTCTCATTGGCAAAGAGTAACAAATAATTCTATTGGTTGCTTTAGAAATAAAAAGTGGAAAAAAAACAGGGTTATCTCAAAGCTTGGTCCTGTGCTGTTGTTCTAAATGGCCACATGCACCGGAATTTATTAACACTGACATAAAACCCAGTGTTTATTGTCCGGCTGCCTCTGGTTGACAGCCTTCTCAGCATTTCATGTACATTATTGCATTTGATTCTGTGGGGACAGTGAGAGGAAGGCACAAACTGTATTTGCTGGAGGAGAAATAGGGCAATAGCAATCAGTGTCAGACCTGGGATTTTGAACCCAGAAAGTTGGCCCTGAGTATATCTTCCTTCCTCAACCCTGAGGATAGACTTGTTATGGTTTAGATATGAGATGTCCCCCAAAAGCTCATGTTGAGATAATGCAAGAAAGTTTAGGGGTGAAATGACTGGGTTGTGAGAGCTTTAACCTAATCGGGCCTTAATCCCTACTAAGGACTAACTGGGTTGTAACTGTAGGCAGGTAGTGTTCCCCTGGGGGGATGTGCCTTTGGAATATGTCTTTAGAATATGTCTCTTTATTTCCTTGTCACCACATCCTGGGCTGCTTTTCTCCTCCACACTTTCCCTCCATGGTGTTCTGCTTCACTCTGGGCTCAGAGCAATGGAGTCAGCCATCTATGGACTGAGAGCTCTGAAGCCATGAGCCCCCAAATAAGTTTTTCCTCTTATAATTGTTCTTATCAGGTCTTTTGATCCCAGCAGCGATGAAGCTGAAATAAAACACGTAGCCCTCCAGGTCTAGAGTTGGTGAGGCACTGAATGCCTCTGGCTCATCCAGAGGGACTTTGAGTATTTTCAGGAATGGGATCAATCGTCTATACCTCAGAGGTCCGCGGTCTCCTGTGGTAGGGGTATCATGGTCTAGATGCACCTCCAGTCACACTGTGACTCTATAAGAACTGGCCACACATAGCCACACTGGGGACCTGTAAGCAGTTAACACACACCTGGCCTCACTCCTCCTTCCCACTCACCTACATGCATTCTCCACCCCAGGGGTCAGCCCTGCACTGCCCTCAGTCCTTGGGGTCCTCTCTGCGCCCATACCATCTCCACAGTCAGGGCCTTCTTTTCCCTCAGCCACTGCCTTGTTCAAAAAGCTGGGGTGGGGGGCAGGTTCACCCCCCAGGATCCCAGTCATATCCTCCAGTGGGCGAGATACACAGGCTTCATCCAGAGGAGGAGTCCTTGGACCCCAAGGCTCCAAGAACCCAACTGTTATGGTTTAGATATAAGGTGTCCCCCAAAAGCTCATGTGTGAGACAGCAAGAAAGTTTAGAGGTGACATGATTGAGTTAGGAGAGTTTTAACCTAACCAGGGCCTTAATCCCCTAATAGGAATTAACTAGTTGGTAACTGTAGGCAGGTAGGATGTGGCTGGAGGAGGTGGGCCATTGGGGCAGGGGTGTGTCTTGAGATATGTATTTTGTTCTTGATGAGTAGAGTTCTCTCTGCTTCCTGGTGCAATGTCTTGCACCATTTTCCTCCACCACAATCTTTATCGTGATGTTCTGTCTCATGTTGGGACCAGAACAATGGTTTGGCCATCAATGGACTGAGACCTCTGGAACTGTGAGCCCCAAAATAAACTTTTCCTCTTATAATTGTCCTTGTCAGGTCTCTTGATCTCAGCAGTGATAAGGTTAACCAAAACACCAACACTGATGTGTCCCCATCTGGCTCCTCCCCACATCTTTGGACTAATCCAGACACATCAAAGTTTGAAAAGCAAAACATCATTTTCTTCCATGACTTGGTTTAGAAAATGGGACAAATGACGTTAAACTGACTGAGGCGATGCCCGTTCAGTGCTGACACAAAGTCCGAAGAAGTTGTGATGTAAAGACTAAGGCTGTTTTAGTTTTTGTTTTCAAGGTATTTTTGTTTGTTTGCGTGTTTGTTCCTCTGCGGAAGCAGACAGGAGAGTGACTAAAAGCTTATTCATTTGCAAGGTTTTCTTTTGAAAATGAACATGCTGGCACAATTTTAATTGGGTTTTAGTTGTTGTTGTTTTAATTCTCACAGTGATGGCTTGGCTATGTCTTTTGGGACTGTGAAGGGAAACTGGCATCTGGTGTTTGAGGATTCTGGGGATTTGCACCATATTTATATGTAATAACTATACAGTAAATAAACAGAATGAATAATTAAGTGAATAATGAGTTTCTCAGAAAAGAGGATTCCTCTGAAGACTTCAACCGAAACCCTCATGTGTGTGGCGGCCTCCCTCCTGGGTGGCATTTTCCACAGTGCTCACTGTGTCATCGCCCCTGTGGAAACCAGCAAGGACATTCTCCAGGCTGAAATCAAGCCTGCCATTAATCAAATGAGGGCATTTCTCTTGCTTGTGTGTTTTCTTCCAATTGCAATGATGTTGGATTTATGTGTCTAAGAATGAGCTTTTTTTTTTTAACTCTAGAGAGATATATTTGCCTCTTTAAAAATAAAATCCATGAGATTAAATTTCATTGAATAGTATTTCTCTGAGGGACTAAAAACTTGAAATTCCAGGAATTTGCAGTGTCTCGTGAAGTTACATACATGAATGCTAATACCCATATTAGCTAATACAAGGTGCCCTTATTCTGGAAGCAACCTGGGCCTAAAGTAAGTCTTCTCAGAGGTAAAACCTACTTGTATAATTTCTGCTTCTTTCATGTACTTGTTCATTCATTTCATCAAATGGGCTTCCCTGTCCATTCAGTCATTCAGCATCATATTTATTCAGCATCTACTATATGCAGGCACTAGTGCCAGGCTCCAGGGACAGCTGGCTGAGTAAACACAGGCCCACTCAGTTCCTGTCCTTCCAGAGCTCATAGTCTTACCAGGGAGACAGCAATCAGATAATTGAACAACAGTGACAAGTTCTATGAAGGAGTGTATGAGTCATTGCAAGCTGCTATAACAACATGCCACTAACAGGATATAGCTTACACAACAGAAATTTATTTTTTCTCACAATCCTAAAGACTAGAGATGTCAGCAGGGTTTTTGGTTTCTTCCGGGGCCTTTCTCTGTGTCTTGCAGATGGCCATCTTCTTGTAGTGTCCTCACATGGCCTTTCTTCTGTGTATACCCATGACTAGGGTTTCTTTTTGGGTCCAAATTTCCTCTTCTTATAAGGACACCCAATCAGATTAGCTGAGAGCCCACCCTTCCAGCTGGCCTCATTTTTAACTTAATCATCTCTTTAGAGGTCCCGTCTCCAAATAGAGTCACATCCTGAGGAACCCAGGGTTAATATTTCAACATAGAAATCTGACAGGAACATATTTCAGATCCCACTAGTGAGAAATCTGGACAGAAAGAATGCGATGGGGATGTCATGTTCCCAAGCAGGACAGAGGGTGGACTTCCTGAGGTTCTCTGGGAATCTGCCGGATGAGGAGGAGCTATTTAAGCAAAGAGGAGGGAAAGGCATTCCCGGGAGAGGGGAGAGAAAGTGCTGAGCCTCCCGTGGAGGGGAGGGGCACTTAGGAGAGCTCAGGAGGAGGCAGGCCTGGTGCTGAGGTGCAGTGAGGCCCAGCCCGTGGAGGAGGAGGACACCGGCTCTACAGGTGAGGCCAGGCCACTGGAGGACTTGTAGACCACAGCAAGGAGCTTTGTGTTTCCCTAGAGCCAGGGAAGACCACCTGGGGGTCGCTGTGGCCTGGCTAGACTTGCCTTTCAGAAATGCCAGCCTGGGTGCAGGGTGGAGGGCAGGCAGGTGGGGATCTGGAGGAGGTTCTGGGAGAGCGTGGGTATAGGAACATGCTGCAGGCATCCAGGCCAGAAGTGGAGAGGTTAGGATCCCTGAGGTCGGAAAGGAATGGAAAGAAAGGAGTGAACTTTCTCCATCTTTGGAGCAATTGATTCCTTATGGTGGGCATTGGGAGACAGGAGTAGGTGATGGGCACTGAGTCAGGGAGGACCGACAAGGTTGCCTCCTGGACTGTTGACCTTCCACAACTGGGCAAATGAAGTGCTAGTCGGCGGGATCAGGACGGCCAGCGCAGGCTCCCGTGCGAACCACATCAACAGGAGGTACCAAAGTCGCCACTTGGTTACTTTTTGTCCCTCAGCACAGATTACACCCCACACGTGTTGCTGTCCTGCTTGGAACATTCTTTCCTGCTTATCCTTTGCTGCCCGCCCACCCTCCATCATCCCGACTCAAGGACAGCACTGAAGATTCTGACTGCTCAGATTCGGCTCAGTGTCCCTTCCAAGGACTCTTACAACACCCTGTGCTTTTCCTTCCGAGCAACTGATATGGTTGAAATTACATGATTACAACACATCCTGGTTGTCTGAATTCCATTGTCCCCACTGGATTGTCAGGGCTATGAAGGCTGGGGCTGAGTGCTAATTAGCACAGCAGATGGGCGGTTCTGGAGCCGGGCCCTGTGGGTTCCAATCTTGACTCCCCTGCCTCCTCCTGGTGTAATCTTGGACAAGGTAGGCTTGCTGTGTGTCAGGTGCCTTGGATATAGATTTTGAGTTATAATACTACCTCCTTTGTAGGATTTGGGGGACTATTAAATTAGAAACTATCATAAAGAGTTTATAACAGTGCTCGGCAAATAGAATGTGCTCAGTAAAGTTTGGCTGTTATTCTTCTTCATCGCTGCATCCCCTTAACTGCTTGATGGGTAGGTGAGTTGATGGATGGATCAGTGAATAGATGGACTGAAATAAAACAGTCCTTATTAAGCTGTGTTGGATGAGCAGAGTGGATCACAAGAAGCCCAAATGGGTATCACCCATACTTCATACCGTAGCTAAATCCGAGGACACTGAGTAGCTTTAAAATAAACTTACAGTGACTTTCAGGCAGGGTCTCAAGAAATCTCCATCAAGACTTCTTTAATGATAAACCAAGTTACTTGTTTCTTGACTTCGACAGACAAAAAAAAAAAAAAGAAAGAAAGAAATCACAGCCCAACCATCCTCTCCTTAATTAAATTGAATGCTTTCCAACTTAGCTGTTGGGAGGGGGATAGAATAAAAAGGAAGTTTAATCTGATTTAAACAATAAGTTGATTCATTGATGTATTTGTTCTTGTGTCCTCCTGCAAACATTTATGGAATTCCCACTGTATGTCAGGCACTGAGATGGGCACTGAGGGGCTACAGAGTTAGAGATAGTATCACACTGTCCTCAAGAAGCTTAAGAGTATAAACAACTTTACAAACAGACCTTAAACCAATAATTACAATCGATCTACCTGATCGAAATAAAACAGACACAGGCACAAACACTATTTTTCAAACAAGGCAGCAGACTTGTGGACCACCTTTATCCCTCGCCAGCACTTCAACAGAGGAGCCACATGGAAGGACAGCCAAAGCCACTTGGTCCCAGCTGAAGGTATTTATGAAAACAACTCATGTCTGATATCTCCTTTTTGCCCAAAGGATTCTCTTTCTGTAATTTATTACAAAATTCAAGGCTATTTCATTAGGGGGAAATGTGCCATATCATTATTATAACAAGTCCCCTTATTTTTGTTCAATTTTGAAACTGACAATCTCAAGACTATTTTTAGCTCAGTCATGTGAGATTATTTGTTTCCTGATTATGAGAAGTTTTTTCCTTTAGACTAGTTAACATGAATTTTATGCTCACTTATTATGTCACATGCTCCAATTCAATTTATTTTAAAGCAGATTCTTTGGGGAAAACTGTAAAGCTAATTTGAATTGATTCTTCAGAGATTCCATTTTAAATGAAGTGCTATAAAAATTGGCAGACAAAGTGAAAAAATGAAATTGAATTTTCTTCTTCAGCTACTCACTGGATTCAGAAATCTTGCTTTTTGACACTGCCAAGGGTTTTGATATAATGTTTTATGCAATTTTCATAACATTTATCTCAAACTCCACTGCCTTTGGTTTGGTTGTTCAACTGCAACATGGTTTCCTGATGTTCCTATGTTTAAAAAAAAAAAAAAAAAAAAGGTCCTTGGTAAAGGAAGAATTTGGTGTTTTGATACAAACTTTCCACCCATCTATCAAACATCTTCATACAGTGACTGTTTGAGTTCTAAAATGAATACATGAATATAGAACACCTGTCGTCAAATCTGTTGGGAGAGTGGAATAAAACTGCATCCCTGAAGTCCTCCTGCTTTGTCCAATTTATATGAGTCCCTTTCAGATCTGATAGATTTGTAGCTTGAGGAAGGTGTGGGAATAATAGGCAAGATGCCTGGTGGCTAATTTCCTGTCCCTCACAGACCCTGAGAAGCACTCATTGTTCCTCAGAGTGGTGGGCTCCAAGCTAATCAGAAACAGCTGGCACCGGTGGGGACCAGGGCCAGGGATTGGTCCCTTCGACTCCACCAGATGATTTACATCCTATTATTAACAATCTAATGGAAAATCCATAGAAAACACATGTCTACAGTTTCATTTTGAGCCTCGCTCTTTCTCTTTGATATCTTGAAAAGGGAGTTTCATTTCACAATCATCTTTTTCCCTGGAATTCTCTTTGAGTCCACTGTCTCGGTCCATTTTCTGCGGCTGTGACAGAACAGCACAGGCTGGCGCATGAGGAGCGATAGCACTTGATTCAGCTCACAGTGCTGCAGACGGGGAAGTGCAAGGTGGAGGGGCTGCATCTGGGCATCTGGTGAGGACTTATGGCTGCAGCGTAGTATGGCAGGGGGCATCACGTGGCAAGCGGTGGAGAGAAAGGGGCCAAACTTACCCCTCCATAAGAGCCCAGGGCCGTGATCACTTACCCAATCTCACAATAACGGCACTAATCGGTTCATGGAGGGGGACACTCACGACCTAGTCACCTCTTCAGGGTCTCACCTCTTAACACTGTCACACGGCAATTTAACTTCAACGCGTGTTTTACAGGGGACATTCAAACCACAGCAGTGACTTCCATTCCTCCTGCCCCAGCTGGTCAGCTAGCAGCAGAGTCACGGGGGCCTTCTCCTAATTTTGCTCTGCTGCCATCAAGGGGAGCAACAAGCATTTGAAGTTGTCCACTAAACTCAGGCTAGTCTTCAAGAAGCCAATCACTGTTGCATGGGTTTTTATTCTGATTACAAAACAAACAAACAAAAAAAGGTGACGATTTGAAGTGAACACACGTGTCACTCAGGTTTCAGAGAAAGGAGCAGAGGTGCCTTGTCCCTTAGGCACAGAGTGCCCACTAACCATAAAGGGACTGTGGGAGTTAAATAAGTGTGATAATGAATATATAATAATTAACCCATAATATTATATATTATGAATATATAGTAATTCATTATAAATCAATGAGTACATAATAATCAACACAAACCTACACATAATGTTTATGTTTATGTCAACTTAGTCATAAAATATGATTTTTTAAAAAATGTTTTAATGGCAGAGGGGGTCCGTGGAGGTCAAGTGTCTCGGCCCACAGAAGTGGTTCACCCCAAGCAGAACTGCTGCGAGTGGCAGGGCAGGGTGGGGGGTGGAGGGTGATTCTTTAGAGTTTCAGCAACTGGGAGCTGGGGGAGGGCTCAGCAAGGGTTCTTAGTCCTCTCTATCCGGAGATGGGCCTAAAATTGCTGTTGGGAAGAAAAGCTGGATGTGAAGATGGTGGTTCCCAACCACTTCCCTCCCACCCTCGCAAGCATTTCAACTGGGTTTGGTACTTGCTATAGTTTGGATAATGTCCCCTAAACTCCATCGTGCTGAAGGTCACCAGTCTGTAGTGCTATCGGGAGATGGTGGAACCCTTAGGAGGTAGGGCTTAGTGGAAGAAGTTAGGACTTTGGGGTGTGCCCTTGAAGGAGATACTGGGTCCCCTGACCCTCCTCCCTCCCTCCCTCCCTCTCTCTCTCTCTCTCTCTCTCTCTCTCTCTGCTTCCTTCTCTTCCACATGTTCCCAACACAATGTGCTGCCTTATCACAGGCCCAACGGCAACAGGGCCAAGGGACCAGGGAATGAAATCTCTAAAACCATAAACCAAAGTAAACCTGTCCTCTTTACAGTTGATTATCTCAATAATAAATAATTATTTCCACCATTATTTCGTCACAATGATGGAAAGCTGCCTAACACAGTATTGCTATTGTTTGAATCCACAAACATGTAGTATGACTTCAACTACCATTCGTGCATCACCCATCTGGACACACAGCTGCCCAGACAATGTACACGTCCCAGGCTTCTGTGTGTTAATGTGGCTGTGCCACTAACCACCTGCCATGCACATGAGGGCAAACAGATGTGACAACTCTAGTGCTGCACCCTCAGACCAAGCTGCACACTCCTCCTCAGGTTCTTTCCCTTCCTGCACACTCCTCCTCAGGTTCTTCCCCTTCCTACCAGTTGGAACCCAAACATGGAGGCAACCCAGCTTCAACATACACTGACAAGAGCTGAGCAGCAAGCTGGAAAGATCCTACAGGTTTTATGGTCCAAAGAATTCTTACCATCAGCATATGTTTTTTTTCTTAAGGTGTTCTGAGTAAGCATATTAGTCCTTTAGGTTGTAGGTGATTTAAAAAAAATAAAATAAAACATCTGAATTCACTTAAACAGAAAAAGAGAATGAATTTGTTCCCATAATTGGAAAGACCAGGAGAAGTTGCACATAGAGCTGGATCTAGGGTTTCAAACTGCTGTACATCACCAAGGCTCCCCCTCCCTCAGCATCAGCTTTGTGCAGGAGACCACTGAAAATGGCCCTGAGAAATTCCAGGCTTACAGTTTCCTTGTAGGTCATAACCCCCAGGAATACAGCAGCTTCTCTCTCATAATGTGTTTTTAACCATGAAGAGCAAATGTCCTGTTGAGTTGCCTTGTTGCGGCCACAGACTCACCCCCACACCAACCACTGCAAACCCCAGAAGAAGAGAGATCAGAAAGAACCTGGACCAGCAGTGGCCGTTCTGGCTCCACAGGAAGTGAACAACAGGCCAGGGCAGTGAAGACAGGAAGTGAAGGGCAGGAGTGGGTGAGTGGTAAAACCAGGAAGTCCACCCTTGACTGGGACAGTTAGGAAAAGCTTGGCAGCAGAGGTGGGATTTTCACTTGGACTTTGAAAGTTTAAAAGTGGATAAAGAAGAAAATACTCAACTTTCATTCCTGACTGTTCCCAAAGGCTCAAGCAGACTGGGCAGCCCAGTGGGATGGAAAGGATCGTGTTGTCTTTCCTCCCTTGGCCACGCACCCAGGACGGGCGTGTTTCCCTCCAAGCATGGGGTCCTTCCAGAGACTGCATGAAGGGGGAGATGTGGACAGGAGGACGGAGTCTCCAGCCTGGGCACTCCCACGTAAAGAAGGAAAGATCAGCGTTTCCC